CGGAGCCAATCTTGCCCCGCTCAGCCCTCTGGCTCACCTCCTGCAGCCGCAGCACCTCGGCTTCCAGGCCCTTGAGGCGCTTTTCACTCTCCCGGTTCTGGACAAAGATCTCCTCCCGCGAGGTGCGTGACTCCTCCACCTCCCGCCACAGCTCCTTCATCTGGACCTGAGCAGAACAGGGTGGATGGCGGGCTCAGCCCAGCAGGGCCTCTCACAGAGAACCCCCAGGCTGGGCACCTGCAGAACCCTGCAGACCTGGGCTTCTGCACATGAGCTGCTGGCTGTGTGACCTGGGGCTCAGTTGTCCTCTCTTAAAACACATCTTAGAGTAACCTAACCAGGCATAATGTGATATTTGAACTCCACAGTAATAATGATAGCCGGGCCCTGTTACACACGCTGAGATACTGTTCATTCTCACGTAGTGTACAGTATAGGGAAACAGAGGCACTGAGTGGTCCAGGTGCCAGGGTGGCAAGCGGCAAAGCCAGGACATGAATTCAGGCTACGTGGGCACAGCCTTTCCATGGTAACCCAGCGGCCACCTGGCCTCTCCTGGGTGCATCTGCAGCCGAGCTAAGGGGCTTTGTCTTCCTGCTCACAAATGCTCTGCCCCCCACCACGAGGGCTGCGGAGCTCCGGGCAATGAAGCGACTATCAGTACAGGGAGGATGGTCATTTGCTTCATGTGGTGCTTTGTTTTTAAGACAGAGTCTCACAGTATAGTCCAGGCTGGCTTTGAACTCAGGGCAATCTTCCTGCCTCAGCCTCCCGAGGACTGGGATTGCGGATGCCCATTTATGGAGCCTCTCAGGGATGGGCTTTCCTCCTGGTGACAGCGTGGTGGGCAAGTGCTACTTTTGGGAGGGATCTTTCTGTATTGGTGCTGCTCCACAGAAACAGGACAAAGCGAGCATGTGGCTCAAACCTTCTAGTGCCCACAGTAAGTAAAAGGGTACAGGTGAGCTTAATTTGAACAATTTTTTTAAATTTAGCTGAATATATTTAAAATGCTTACTTTTTTTTTTTCTGTCCTAAGATTGAATTTAGGGTCATTTTTAATTTTGAGACAGGGTCTTCCTAAATCGTTAAGTTGCCCAGGCTGGGTTTGAAATTGCTATCCGTCTGCCCCAGCCTCCTCAGCGCTGGGGTTGCCGATGTGCACCGCCTGAGTACGACTTTTATAATGAGGTGGAAAAAACCACAAAACCTAGCCCATCCATACTCTATTTCCATATCAAGATTCAAACGATGAAACCGGACTTAAAACCATATCGCGTGTAGTGAAGGAAGCGCAGGCTCTCGGAAGATGCCGCGCTGCGGGGGCGGCGAGGCTGGCAGCGCGCCGGAGCCCACCACCGCCTCCCGCGGTACCTGCGTCTTCCGCAGCTGCTTTACTGCCTCCTCCTTGCCCTGCCCGGCGGCCGCTGCCTGCGCCTTCAGCTCCTCCAGCTCGGCCTCCAGCTTCTTGCGGGCGGCCACTGCCAGGGCGCGCTGCTTTCGCTCCTCATCGCGCTCCACCTCCGCGTCCCGCAGCTTCAGACGGAGCAGGGGTGCGCAGGGTTAGGCATCGATCCTCCCACCTCTCCCTCCCCTCCCTCCCGGGGTGCTGCTGCGCCCCGTCGCTCCCCACCAGTCCATTCCCACACAGCTCCAGGAGGGTCTCTGTACATCTGGGGCTCACCCTGCTCACAGCCCCCTAAGGCTCCTCGGTGCCCTCGGAGCTGGATCAAAGGGGCATTAGAGACCCTTGGGCCTCGGGGAGCCAGGCAATCCCTCTTTGTCCCTCCTACTTCGAGCACACCCTCGCACTGAAACTGCTGCTCATACAACCCAGTGGGATCTTTCTGGTACTCAGGGCTGCCCAGGCTGGGCTCCAACTTGAGACTGTCCTGCTTCAGCCTTCTGGAATATGCCCAACGTTCACTACACACAGAACGCACGTTCTGTGATGTCCTAGTAACCAGCACTGTCCTTTGCAGACGCCTTCCCGTAGTTACTGAGGTTGGCAGTGGGAAGGGAGAAGCAGCCGGACGCCGGCTGGGCTGGGGGTAAGTGCGGGTGGGGAGCAGGCTTGCGTGGGCGGATGCGTGGGTTGGGGCTGTGGTGGCTGCGGCGGGTGTGGCTGGGGCCATCCACCGCCCTGCTCACAGGCACCTAAGTAACGCGTCCCGTGCGCGGGCTGGGGGTAGGAAGCCCGGTGGGTGGGGAGGGCGGCTGGCCAGGGCAGGGTCTCCGGTGGCCTCGCTCACCTGCTCCCCCGGCAGGGGTGGCTGCGCCCCGGCTGCCTTTCTTTCTGCCCACCCTGAGCACCCCGCCCACCGTGGTCTGCGGCCTCCTGCCGCCTACCTGCTTAGCCAGCTGCCTCCGCCTCTCCTCGCCGGCCTCATCGCGGCCCTGCAGGTCGCGCTCGTGCTGGGCCTTCAGCGCCTGCACTGTCACCTCCAGGCGCAGTTTGGCGTCTTCGGCCGCCGTCAGCTCATCCTCCAGTTCTGTCACCTGTGCTCGAAGGTCGTTGGCGGCCTGATCAGCCACCCTGCGGGCTCTTTCCAGCTCGTGTACCTGGAGGGAAACGAGTGTGAGCAGGAGTGCCCGGGCCACCAAGGGAAGCGAGGAAAGTGGCCCTGCAGCGCGGCGCAGGCTCGGATGGGGGGTGTTTCCCTCCTCCATTCAACATCTATGGGCACTGATTTCCTCTAGGTCTCACTGGAAATCATCCTAAAACTTTTCCGGAACAGCCTGTGCACGGTACCTCTTTTAAAGCAACAGCATGGCCCAAGTGGAAACCTCCTACATGACTTTAATTCATGGGTCACAGTTACAGTGCAGGGGCGCCGGAGGATTGCGTGCCTTCACCTCCTGCTGTCTGCATAAGGTGCGTATGAAGCATTAACAAACTTCACATTTAGCTCTCAGTCCCAACGCCAAGATATGTCATTATGTATAAGCAAATTTCCAAAGTAAAAAAAAAAAAAGAAAGAAAGAAACAAAGAAATCTGGGGACCGGGGAGATAGCTCAGTAGAATAAGCACTAGCCTGATAAGCACAAGGACCTGAGTTCAACCCCC